GCGTTCTCGAGAATTGGAACGGTACTCGGGCTGAGGCTGATGACGTGTCACGAGTACACGAGAACGCTCAAGAACGCATATTGAGAAACGCCCCTAGTCTTAGTCTGCACAACAAACAACTGATATAAGACAGCAAGACATTTTGGTTGTTTTCCTGTAAACAGGACAGAGAAATGTTTTCTGTCTCTATAAAGGTTGCAAAAAAAACACCACATCATTTGATTTTGTTGTTGATCAAATGCACTAAGCTCCAGTGTCACCAGAATTTCCTTTAAAAGCTTTTAATCAAATAAAAGCTCATTTTTTTCCAAGCCCTCTCACTACCAACAAAACCAGTCCCTAATGTTTCTATAATATTTACAGTACTTTGAACTTCCATGTTTCCAAAAGTTATTCATCTTTCCATTATTTCTCCAATATCCCAACAAATTGCTCAAGAGGGTTGAAGTAATGAAAGCTGCTTTACTGTGCATCAATGAGAATGGCTGTAAGAAATTAAACTCTATATCCCCATTTACAATACCTTTTTGAATCGGTCCGAGCACAGTAACCTCCTTACAGTTAGCCTCAGTAATCATGAAATTTCAGACATTTATAAAAATACTAGCTTCCCTACCGTACCACACAATTTAAAGTGAGGATTCTGCTTAGCAGTGTGATGAACCTCAAAGTCTGTTGTTGTTTCCTACGTTTGCAAACCCTAATTTGACTGTCGTTTTTTGTATCCACTTCCCAAAAGCTGACTCTGTCAAGTAAATTCACCAAAGGTTCCCTTCTTCGCCTGACTCTCCACAAACAATGAAATATCACAATTAACACCAAACTTCCTGAATGTTATTGGTGACGTCATGTTGGTTTGATTGTTTCCCTAACTACCGTACTGTGCGGTAGTACTGTAGTACCGTAGATCGTCACTAGGGGGCGAGGAACTGTGGCAGCACGGTGTGTAAACGGTCGTAAGGAACCGAGCTCGGCACAGTTAACTGTTCCGAGCTTGGTCCGATTTCGGCACTGATCGGTTTCAGAGGGTAGCGTAAATGTGATTTTTGTGTCAAACCTTATTTAAAATCAATACACTTGCATGTTACATGACATTAGAGGCTTCTAACAGTTTTTGTAGAAAACAGCTATGACTCTTTTCTACAGTAATCTTCTCATGTTCACAATCAAAGAAATGCAATATATGGTTGTCTCTTTTTGGTATGTTAGCATAACTAAAAGCAAACTTTGTAGGCCTGACAAGGACAATTGCCTCAGCATTTACATTTCGTCTCTCTACAAGAGTCTGGTTGTAAAGTCCAAATAGTTGGTTGTATAAATATTTTTCTGCTGAGGGGGGAACAATTCAAGTTTTCCTAATTATTTTTTTGTTTTGTGTTATTGAAAGCACGTGCCGCCAACCTTGAGGGAGAACTTCTAACTGATTTGATGAAGGGCTACAACAAGAATGTCCAACCAAATGAAAGAAATGAGAATGTCACCCAAGTCTCCATCAAGATGACCCTCACCAACCTCATCTCTCTGGTGATCTACTCTCCGTCTGATGTTTTTCTTTATTGTCAGATGCTGGAAAAGACTTTAACCTAACATGGTCACTTGTTCTAGAATGAAAAAGAGGAAGTCCTGACAACCAGCGTGTGGATAGAAATGGTAACTCTACATTCAATTAAACCTCATGTCCATTTTTTGCCCCCACTGTTAGTCGAAATGAAAACATTGGACTCACAGGTATGGTGTGACTACCGACTGAGGTGGGACAAACCACCGAGATCAGCTTTGTATGGGAACATTACATCTCAACTACGGGTTCCTTCCAGAAACATCTGGCTGCCTGACATTATATTAGAAAATAAGTAAGTACATTTAAACTGTTATGACTCTGAGGGGAAGGAATGTTTGTTATTTTTTTATAAGCAACATCAAATCGACTAAATACAAAAGGCATATGGAACCCAAACCTAAAATAATCATGTAACTTTTAAGGACCTGAAAGTTTAATTGTATTTCTATGTGATTTGAAGTTTCAAACGTCATGGATACATTATCAGCATTACTGCTCAATGTAACAGATTCAGTTAGACCTTTCAAAACTGTAATGAAAAACTGAATCTATGCAAAAAAAAGATCAAGACATATGTTTACAAACATAAAGGCCTGTTATTCTCCCTCTTAGACTAAACAAACACACAAATAAATATTTTTTAAATTAAATGAGGATTAAATATCACACCTATTTGCTGAATGCCTCAATCAGGGTTGCCATTCACATCCACATTTTACCTCTCCCTAAAAACTTTCAACCAAAACTAACTGGAGAAATTACATGAATTGTTTAT